TCCATGGCGGTTCGAAGCGTCGCCAGATTCCAGGTGACCGAAGTCCTTGGCGTGCCGCGTCGCATCGCTGTTGTTAGTCGAGGAAGCCTTCCTTGACGCCGCCTTAAGTGGCGTTGGCAGCGGAGCCGAAAGTGTGGACGAATTTGCGGTAGTACCGCCAAGCCGAAGAAACCGCATGGATCGTCGGTCATGGAAGCCTTCCTTGGCGGATCCATGGGGCGCCACGGAGATGAGCGTGAGAGATGATGTGAACGAGATCTGAAATTGTGGACGGAATTTGCGGTAGTACCCGGCCAAGCCGTCTTTGGCGCGGCGTGGACTACCGCGCGGAGGTGGCGAAGGTGGTCGGCCCATGTCTTTGTATATCAAAATGTCGATCATGGACAAGGACAAACCGGCGGAGGCGGATCATAAGCAACGTTCATGGCGCTCGGAGATGGCGTGATGACGAATGGCATCACCAAGAACTCGTAGAGGCCTCGTGTGTCAAGAACGCCGTCTTGTGGACATCGCATGCGAACTTGGTGGTAAGAAGGATGAGAGAAGCCGGGCGCGCCGTGGAGTTCGCCGGAGTTCGTCCACTACGGAATGGGGACGGAGGTGAGAGGCGGCGCGCGATAGTCGGTCGGCCCATGTCTTCTTTGCGATATCAAAATGTCGCAAAGAAGAAGCCCTGCTCCAACATGGCGGCAGATTCTTTGTTCAATTTGTCCTTGTGGGACGCAGGTACCGTATGGAGCGTCGTTCATGAGCGCTGAGGATGATCTTGTGGTCGCTCGGGCTGGCATTCGGGTTTAAGACAAATCGGTTCGAATGGCATCACCGCAAAACGTTCGAGAATCAACAACCCTCGGTGTACGGAGAATCGCCGTCAAAGTTGTTTCAGTTGAATCGGTTCGGTTTCTGTTCCACCGAACATCGCGAAGTTAGTGGTACCGGGCGAAAGAGAGTCCGAGAATTTGAGAAGAGAAGATTGCGGAGTTCACGAGCGGCGCCCTGCGCTCGACCAACCGTGGAGTGTATCGGCGTTTCGTCCACTACGGGAATGGGGACGCGCATCCATGTGTAGCCGGCGCCGCCGCGTCTTCGGGCGCGGTGTATGTCGACGCAGCAGCGCCAACCACCGCCGCCTCGCCGAGCGAGGAGGAGCCGCCGCCACGGTGCCGCTTCGCGCCGACGCCCGCCGCCGCCGCTGCGATGATGCCTCCCCGCGACCAACAGGGTTTGGAGGCGATGGCAAACACTTGTCCAGTTTGGTGGACTAGTGATCTTTGTGAAGGGCTTTCGCGCCTATTGGGCTCTAGCAGATTGTTGGGCCCGGTGGTGGGAAGGGCATCGTGTGTAGGCTCGGGCCCGGACGCCGGAGGATGATTGTTGGGTCGAGCGGTTGTTCGTTCAGCGGAGGCCAAAACCGATCAACGCGAGAACCGTAATTCCTATATGCAAAATCGAAGCGAAACGGAAAACCGAAAAAAAGACGTCCCCGAAGGATTCGATTTTTGGTTTTTGCGGTTAAAATGTCCAGTGAGGGACTCGGCGTGGCGCCCGACGATGCGTGACAATGCGGACACTGGGAGCACTTGGCCGCCGGCGTTAGTCGCCGCCCAAAACCGCCGGCCTGGCAAAGCGCCCCGACGCTGGAAAGACATCTTCCGCGCGTTGAAGTCCCGAGCACCGGTCCCAAGGTCGCCCGACCCGCTGCGTCTGAGGGACCGGTCGTACCGGCAAGTGGCATCACGAAGAGATCGACGCGCGGGCGATGTCGTTGTCGATGGTGGTGGCGTGCACTGCCGAATGACACACAAGAGGAGGAGCGCGCTTCGCCATTCGCCACCGGCGTCGCGTGAGGCGTGGCGGGGCGCTGCGAGAGGCAGCCGAAGACGGGAGGGCGCGTCCTCGGCTATGAAGTTGTGCGTGGATCCCGAGTCGAGGAGCGCGGTGAAGACGGCGGCGCCCACGGCCACCTGGATCTGCATGGTGTCGCTGAAGGACACCCCAGCGATCGCGTTGAGGGAGAAGTGCGGGGTCTCCTCCCCGGTGGCGTCCTCATCAGCAGCGGCCCCGTCGTCGGTGGCGTCCTCGATGACGCTGTCGAGGAGGAACAGTCGTTTGCAGACCCGATTGTGCCCGCGATCGAACTTTTCATCGCAGTTGTAGCAGAGGCCGAGGCGACGACGCTCTTCCTGTTTTGCCTGAGTCAGCCGCCGAACCGGCCGGCCCTCCACGGTGATCGTGGTCGGCGCGGCCTTGTCCGCCTTGTCCGCCGGGGGCGCTGGTAGGGCGAGTCGCGGTGCGGGCCGGCGGTGAACAGCTGGACGCGCTGTGCCTCGTCCAGGCGGCCCGCGTGAGGAAGCAGGGCCTGGAACCGGTCCTGGTACTCTTCCACGGTACCAGTTCGGTGGCAAGCCGCCAACTCGCCGAGGGGGTTGGATCGGAGGGGAGGCCCAAAGCGCAGGTGGAGTAGCTCCGTGAACTGGCGCCAGGAAGGAGTACCCTCGTCCTGCTGGACTTGGTAGTACCACAGCTGAGCGCCGTCCTCAAGGTTGTACGACGCCATCCAAACTTTCTCCTCCTCCATGATCCGCTGTTGATGAAAATAAGATTCACAGCGATTGATAAAGATCAGGGGATCCGACTTGCCATCGTAGCGCGGGAAGTCGAGCTTTTGGAAACGCGGCGGCCGGTCCTGGTGGTGCTCTCCCGACCCGGAGTGTGCGGAGTGTGATGATCCACCCGGCGGCGTACGCGCGGCGTCTAGGCGCTGGATGGCCTGGGCGTTGGCCTCCACGGACGTCTGGAGGGTCCGGATGGACGCGACCAGTGAGTCCAATGTCGCCTGCAAGGCGGCGTTGGCGGTGTGGTTGACAGTGTTGTCGCCCATGGCGTCGACGCGAGGGGACGACGCGGCGGCTGAGGATGGTGCAGCTGCTGGTGTTGGCGAAGAGGCACGAGATGAACTGGATCACCTAGACCGTGATACCAGGTTGTCAAGGGCGTCGAGGGGTAGGGTAGCGCACACCCGGCTACGTAGTTCGTAGCCGTGATCCGTGTTGGGGCGAGGTTTTACCCCTCAGCGCCCGTTCTGTTGAGAGGGGAAGAAGGAGAAGTAATTGTTCTTGCTTGATCCCAAAATGATGGATTACAAGGACTCTTATAGGCTATAGCCTTAACAGACTCTAACAAATCACTCCTAAATTAGAGGCCTTCTTTCCTTTATTCTAGCCATTCCCTTGATTGGCTTCCCTTTATTCTAGCTACTTCCTAAACCGACCCCTGCGCTGGTGCCTGCCGCAGTGACCGCGGCGGCCGCGTCGCCCTGGCGCGCTGCTGCACGCCTGGCATCCCGGGCCCTTCTATTCCTGGCATATGTGCGTCCCCACATGACATATGGTCTGATTATAGACCAAGCTTTTTGAATGTAGTAGTTGTTTCATGCCTGTATGGAACTTGGCTATCAGACATGGAACTTGTTTGCAGTTTGAACTTTCAGGGCATCAGTATTCAGTACAGCAAACTCACAATGTAATGTAACTTGTCTGTACAGTTTCAAACTTCCAGTGCATCAGTACATCCAGGCACGAGTCTAAGGTTAGGCATAAAAACAGAAACACAAATCAACGGATCTCAGCCCTGCAGAACACAAACCCAGCCCCTGCCCCAAACTAATCAAAACCGGTCCTTGCTGCCGTGCTTGCTACCTTAATGCCACGCTCGGCGGTGTGTGTGTGTGTGGGGGGGGGTCCTGCACTGCCCCGACCGCTCTTGCGCTGCCCTGTGCTGCCACAGCCGCTGAAAGAACTAGAGGATAGAGGATAACGGCCTCATGGGGGAGAGCCTTCTAGATTAGGCTAGGGACAATATGGTCCATCACCCATTTTTCTCTCTATATTTTCATTTGTTTAAACCGGCTCCAACTAACAGAGTCTAACATAGGGGCAAAGGTGCCTTCGGTTGGGCCTATTTGTTTGAGCTGCATCTTTTGGGCTTTTGGCTCAAAAGCTGGCTTCTGGCTTGTGGCTGTTTGATTTTTGCTATTGCCTTTTGCAATAATATTTTTAGCTTCTCAAACACCAAAAGCGAGAAAAGCTCCTCTCAACGTGCTTTTTTAGCTTTTAGTTCATTTCCTCAGAAGCTAGCTTTCTAGCTTTTAAAAAATCAGCTCAATAGCGGTTGTTTGTTTCAGCTTCTGGCTTCAGGCTGGCAGGAGTCAGCCATCAGTTGAAACAAACAGGTCCTAAATATACAGGGGCAAAATCACAAAGTTCGAAAAGTAAAGGCAAAATCACATTTCGACTTTGGAGCAGGGGCAAGGAGACTAATCTCCCTTAAATGTTTGATAGCATGGTTTTGCTGTAGGCTGTGTGATACCTAGCGCTTATTGGGTGCTACTAGTTTTCTTAGGCGGGATGGGGGTAGGTGGCCATCTTTTAGAACATTGCCATTAGTGTTAAGATTAGAACAATGTTGTTGGTGTTAAGATTCAACAGATAATTAAATGCCAATTCTTTTTGGAATTTTAAAGATATTAGATAACTGAGTATCACTCACTATCAACTGGACTTGATTTTCTCTGCAATCGGCATCTTATTATATTCGTAAGGTGCTGCTTGTGGCAGGGTCCTGGCTAGTATTGCGCAGTTCCTGTGCAGGCAGAGCTTTTTCTTTATCCTGAGATGTCCACAAACTCAACTAACTCAACGGGACCAACTGGTATCGAGCTGTTTTCACGATACTGCAGAAGCTGATAGTTACCATATGCTCCTATTTGTTTTGAATTAATTAGCAATTGTAGTGTAAGAAAGGTGAGAAGTGATTGGGTTCTATGAGAAAAATCTAGATTTCATAAAATCCTGCTGCTTTGTTAGGGTTTCTAGAAACCAAGTTTGTCAAACGTGGTAATTGTAACATGTGCAGATGCGCCTCAGCTGTTGCTTCGGTGGTTAGAATAAATCCTCATTTGTTCTTGTTGCATAACTTCATAATTCCCCATTTTTGTGCAGGAGGCAAAGCGGTTGGCTCAGTCCCATCCGGGTACTTTGCCTAATGGAGATGTTAAAGTGAAAGCTGAGCATTGAGGGAAGGGTACGACTACAGAGGGCAAGTTTACTATCTCTGTTTAGTTTGGGGATGGCTTTGTTAACGAGAAACATGCATAACTTTCTATTGCACTTTCCCTTCATCTGATTGGTCAGTGAATCTATACATATTATCATAGCATGTGTGGCACAATGTATTCAACTTAACGTATGGCTTTTAGAAAAAAACCTAACCAATGACTGAAATTAATTTCTTGATGTTGCATTGTCATATCTAGTTCATTATGTGCTCTGCTAGCTCAGTATACAATATGAAGCATACAAGGATACATACAGTTTTACCTGTGCGTTCGAGAAAAGAAATGTGAATCATGACAGTGCGCGAGTAGCTATGTTTTGCTCTATTTTGGTAGATTTTTTAAGCACTACTACTCTTAGGGTTGGGGAGTGCTGCATAATTTCTCGGTGTAGTGATATAATGCAAGTCACAATAAAATAAAATATTCATATTCATTCACAGTTTTGGTTCCCCAAGCTGTCCGAGCGCCAACCCTGGATTGCCGGAGACGCTATGGTCCGGTCGGCCGGTCCCTAACGATGCGACGGTTTTTTTTTTCCGAGGCTGGCAACGTGATTTTCTTCACTTCTAAGTGCGCATGGGCCTCTGCTGCTTCTGTGCTTGGGCTGGCCCACTCCGCACGAGACATGCATGAAAAATCGACTAAATACGACCGCACGGAGGCGGGATTGGCGACTCCGCCGCGACGCTGCGGCGGCGGGCGGAGGGATCTGACGTCGGCTTTCCCTACGCAATCCTTTCCAGTCTTTCTCCTGCTCGGGCTGATCAAGGGACTGCCCTGCAGCGGTGCAGTTCTTTCCCTGGCGGACTCCTAGGATGGAGCCCATCCAGCTCAATGAGTTGCCTAAGCTGGAATTGTCGTGGCCTCAGCAACGCCGACACTGAAAGAGCTTCGTGAATTGGCAAGGCGTTTTGCCCCATCCGTGCTGTGTGTTCAGGAGACCCAAGTGCACAAGTCGTGGGTGAAAAATTTGAAGAACACCTTAGCTTTTGATCATTCGTTTGTTGTAAGCACTACAGGCCGCAGTGGTGGTCTGAGGATTTTTTGAAATAATAATGTGCGAGGGAAACTGTTACCATACTCACAGTATCACATTGATGTTATCCCTACAGAGCGTGATAGAGAACCCTGGAGGCTCATATGTGTGTATGGAGGAGCAACTAAGCGAGCGACACAAGACGTGGAGTTTGCTTAAATTTATTAAATCATCATCCCCACTGCCGTGGGTTTGCATTGGTGATTTCAATGAGGTTTTATATCAATCGGAGCACATCGGTGTTCAAGAAAGGAGCAGAGCTCAGATCGAGGGCTTCCGAGAGATGGTCGACGTATGTGGTCTCAATGACCTCGGCTTTGAGGGCCGCAGTTAGACCTTCGAAAAGAAGGTGGCGGGAGGCTCGTATCGTTGTGTCCATTTGGACCACGGTCTCGCTATCGCGGATTGGTGCAGCAGATTTTCTATGGCAAAAGTTTAGCATTTGGCGGCTGCTGCTTCAGATCATGGGCCGATTCTCCTGGAGTGGAGACTGGCGGTTACCAGGCAACAGGGAGAGCATGGCAAGAAGATCTCTTGTTGGATTGATCGTTGGAAGAGTTTGAGGCGCGTAGTGAGGCCGCAGGTAAAAACACATTGGGAATCCTTCAGGTCCAGGAGCTCCCAGTTGACAGAATTCTTGGTGGTTGTCTTCTTCAGTAAAAGGAAAGGAAACAGCTTATTTTCACGGGGGCACCCAAGTTTGTTACCAGGTTGGTCTTGTAAGTATTTAGGCTATTGGTATATGTGGGTGGAGGGGTCTGAGATGAGCAGTCCATTGACATAAAGATGGTATTTTCTTTGATCTTTTGACGGTTCAGGTATGAACAAACGTGGGAGACACACCTAGATTTTTCAGGCACACTAGCGGACTCTTGGCAATGGGAAGGCGAGGCAAAATCACTGAGCGAGCTGCAGGAGAAGCTGAAAGATGTGTCAGGGCACTTGTCTGTTTGGGAGCGCATAACCTTTGGTCAAGTATGACATGAGCTCTAGAAATTAAACAAGAAACCAGAGGAGATGCAGTCAGATCCAGGACGGTTGGGCTCTTCCCAGCAGGAATTGAAGCTGGTTGAGCGAATTCAAGAGCTTAACCACCGTGAGGAAATTATGTGGAGGAAGAGATCTCGAGTTTTGTGGTTAACAGCTGGAGACAAGAATACCCGGTTCTTCCATCTGAGGGCAAGCCGGAGGAGCAGAAACAACATTTCACGACTAAGGAAGCCGGATGGGCAGTTTATCTTGAGCTTCGTTCAATTGTCACCAATTTCTACAACAATTTGTTTGCTTTTGAGAGCACGGATAATATGGAAGAGGTGCTATCTACTGTTCTAGTTAAGGTAACACCTGAAATGAATAGGACCCTACTTGATTCCTACAAGGAGGGTGAGGTAAAGGATGCTTTGTTCCAAATGTTTCTTACAAAAGCACCGGGTCCCGATGGTTTTCCGGCGCACTTCTTTCAGCGACATTGGGAGCTTTGCGGCAAGGAAGTTACAACCATCGTGCTGAAGCTTCTTAATGGCAAGGAGGAGCCAACGGGCGTCAACGAAACTTTGATCGTTCTGATTCCGAAAGTGGCTAGTCCAGAGGAAAGTGGTCAGTTTTGACCCATTAGCCTGTGCAATGTTATATATAAAATTGCATCCAAGGTGTTGGCGAATAGGTTGAAGATTTTCTTGTCCGAAATTATTTCTGAGGAGCAATCGGCCTTTGTTCCTAACCACCTCATCACGGACAATATCATCTCCGCTTATGAGTGCCTGCATTTTATCAAGCGGAAACGAGCAAATGATCTGAGATGCTGTGCTATGAAGCTGGACGTGAAGAAGGCATATGATCGAGTCGAATGGAAATATCTCGATGCGATAATGCGCCAGCTTGGTTTCCATCATCGTTGGGTGGACACAATCATGAGGTTTGTTAGGTTGGTTTCATTTTATGTTCTATTTAACGGTGACAAACTTGAAAGTTTTAGACCGACACGATGGCATACGACAAGGAGATCCAATTTCTCCCCACTTGTTCCTTATAGCAGCAGAGGGCCTCTCGTGCCTGTTAAAATCAATAATTCAGTCATCAGTGCTCAAAGGTATTACAGTGGCACCGTCGGCTCCGATGGTGAGCCACCTTCTCTTCAGATGACAACCTTTTGTTTTTTCGAGCAAATCGGGAGAATGCTTTGTTGATGAAGGGGGTCTTACAATCGTATTGCTTAGCATCGGGACAGGATCAATATGGAGAAATCATCCATACACTTTGCAAAGGGCGTCAGGCAACAAAATCCCTGATGTTATCAAGAACGAGATGGAGGTTTATAATGAGGCTCTGAATGAAAAATATCTTTGTATGCCTTTAGATGTTGGTACTGCTACAAACGGGGCCTTTAAATATTTGAAGGACCGGGTTTGGAGTAGGGTTGAGGGATGGCTGGTTTAGTGCTTGTCTGCGGGCGGGAAGGAGACCTTAATAAAAGCAGTGGCGCAGGTTGTTCTGACCTATTCTATGTCTTGTTTCAGACTACCAAAGAGTCTTTGCGACTATTTAACCAGCTTGATGAGGAATTTTTGGTGGGGCTGTAAGGATGGCAAGAGAAAGATATGTTGGTGTCGATGTTTAACCACCGATAGCCTGCCACGGGGGTCCCCGGGACAGTATTGTTCGGGCTTCAGCGTATGCGGAACTCGACGGTGAACGCAAGAGACGGTCGATTTATCCTGGTTCGGGCCCTCGATCGTTGATCGCGTAATAGCCCTACGTCCAGCCGGCGTTAGCCCTTGCGTTGTATTGATTGCGTTGTAGAAAATCATGATCTCCCGCCTTTAGGAACCTTGCCCTCCTTTATATAGTCAGGAGGTCAGAATCCTAGTCGGTTTACAATGAGAGTTCTTAGTAGGATTACAGGATAATACTACTACTAAGATTACATGGGAAGAATCCTAGTTAGACTAGATCTTCTCTCCTCCCTGCGGGGTATCCTGTGGGTCCCGCACCGACAAGCCCTCGAACACTTCATGGTTGAGCTCTGGAAGCGTCGTCTTGTTCTTTCAGGCTTTGCCGAGCAGGAATAAGCGTCGTCCGAGTGTTTTCTTGAGCGAAACCGTGTGGCGCTCTGTGAGATCTTCGCGTGGAGTGTACCTTTTTTGAAGAAAAAAGTATTCCCCTTTGGGTATAGCCCCCGAGCCTCTTACTATTTGGAACAAGGAGCTGAAGGGTCTTGTCTTGAAATCGCTCTGATCCTTCGTTGAAATGTTCCCGAGCGTGTGCCCGGGTTCTTTATCAAAAAGAACTCGGATATAGCTCGGTCCGGCTTCTTTTTGTCATGATTCCTTGAAGTAGTTTTGTCCTGAAGAAGTCTTCTTGGTGACGTGCGTTTTTTTCGAAGAAAAAAGTGCACTCACTGAGTGTAGCCCCCGAGCCTCTTGCTATTTGGAACAAGGAGCTAGAGGGTCTTTGAATCTTATGTTGTTTTAAAATTGCTGACTTGAAGAAGTCTTTCGAGTGATGTGCGTTTTTTTGAAGAAAAAGTGCACTCACTGAGTGTAGCCCCTGAGCCTCTTGCTGTTTGGAACAAAGAGTTGGAGGGTCTTGAGTCTGATTTGTTCGAGGAACTGAAATCTTCTCCTTTTGTAGCCTCTGAGCATTTATCTGGGTTCTTTGATTCTAAAAGAACTCGGACGCATTGTTCTTGGCGTATTCTTTGGCAGTCTGCTGTTTGTTAGGTGTAGTTGTAAGGTGGTGGTTGAGTGTAAAAGTTGCATGTTCACGGGTTGTACAGTGTTGGCATATTCTTCCGAATATGCTCGTCTTCGAGTACTGTTCCTTCTGAGTCTTCCATTATTGAGTCCTGTCTTTTCACTGTGTCTTTTGAAAGGCTTGTTTCGTCGGTACTCCTAGTCCATGTGCACCGCTCCTTCGATCTATAAATACCCTCCAGGGGTGCATGCTTTCATCCATTGAACATTTTGTCGAAAACTTCGTAGTCATGAATATGGTAGTTTGTGAGGTAGAGCAGCCCCCGGGCGTATCTTGTAATTCCTGTGTGTCTTGTTGTAGCTGGAGGAAGTCTTGTGATAGGGATTAGAGGTAGACTAATCCCGCAGCGGCATTGTATTTGGAAGTACGTGGTGGTAGTTGGAGGAAGTCTTGTGATGTGGGCTTCGTTCCTTGATCCGGTAGTTCTGGGTTGATTATATCAGGTTAGCTAAACCAAACCAACCTCAGGTTAGCTAAACCAAACCAACCTCAGTTCGTCAGTGAACTAATCAATCAAGCTGAAGCGGTGTGGAAAAGTGACATGCTAGAGGAGTTCTTCACCCCTCTCGACGCGATGACGATTGTCAATATCCCTCTATGTACGAGAAGGCAAGAGGATTTCTAGGCTTGGCACTTCGACAAACGGGGTAGTTTCTCGGTATGCTTGGCGTATTATATGTTGGTTCGTCGAAGGGAGCAGCACGTCGCGGCCGTGAGGAATAATGTAGGCCGGTCGGTTCAGATGTCGCTGTGGAAGGTGAAAGTTCCCTCGAAAATCCGTATTTTTCTCTGGAGATCCGCGAAGCACTCGCTACCGACCAGAGACGTACTTCACCATAGGAAGATGGCATAATGTAGCGCCTGCTTCTTCTGTGGGATGGAGGACTAGACACACTGCTAGAATGTACTATGGCGAGATGCATTTGGACGCTGGAGAAGGAAGAGATAGTGGAGCTCCTGAGTGGAATTTTGGAGAATGATGCTAAGTCTTGGCTAGCTATCATGACAGAGATCTTACCACAAGAGGACGTCGTTAGAGTGGCGATCACATTGTGGGCTATTTAGTATGCATGGCGAAAGGCGATTCATGAGAATGTTTATCAAAGTCCTCTATAGATGCATAATTTTGTGGATAAGCTTGTGTCGGAATTAGGAGAGAAGGCGCATGTGCAGCGGCCACAGGCTCGGGTGCGTGAACGGCGGCCGGCATGGATCGCACCCCCTAGGTGTCATTAAAATCAATTTTGATGCAGCTTTGTCCAAGAATGCATCCATGGCCTCGGCAGCAGCAATAGCGAGAGGCGAGGATGGGCGTTTAATGGGCGCCTCGGTGTTGGTCCTTCGGGGCATTTTTGATCCAGAGGTGATGGAGTCTATCGCGTGTAGAGAAGGGATGGCTCTAGCTGCAAACTTACGAGCTGATAGTTTCAGATTAAGCTAGTGACTGTCTGAACATGGTGAAGAGCATCCGACAAGGTGATCTAGGATCTACGAACAGGTTATCCAGGAGATAATGTGAGGAATGCAGCTTTTAGTAGTGTCGAGTTTGTACATGAGCATAGGGAGTCAAACACCGATCTCATAGAATAGTTCATAGCTCGATCCATGCCAAGGTAGGGCGACATGTGTGGTTCTTGAATCCATCTAATGGTGTGTGTAATATATACAATCTTTCTATTTGAATAAAGAGGGTGGTGTTGCTAAAAAAAGCAGATGTCCAATGTCCAATCCTTTTTAAAGTAACAAAAAGTCATAGTTGTTAAACTAAGTATCGAAATTAAAATCTGATTATACTATCGTATTTCTTGCAATAAACTCTTCAAAACAAGATCTCAAGTGGTTACATTTAGATAAAAATTTATTGACGAACAATTATCTCATGAAGATAGAACAATTCTTTTTATTGAGTGCAGCGATGTTCTAGGTCCATGATTAAATATTCTAAGTTAAGGAGAATAACATTTCAGATATAGGATAAAAAATAATATATGTTTATGTGAATGGTATTATAATATATGTGAAAATAGAGGAAAAATGAATGAGAAAATCTATGGAATATATAGAAAATAATAAATTACATAACATAGCAAAACAGAAAAAATTAATAAAAGACAGAACAAGGCATAAGTAAGGGGATACAAAAATAATAGAAAGGAAGCACCTCCGCGTCGCTATCAGCTCGCACGGAAGCACGCTAGCTTGAGTATGTCGCGTAAAAGGAGGAAGAAAAATACTGGAGAAGAAATATATTAGAAAATAGGAACTATGTGGATGGCTTATCTTAGTATAAAATATTTATACATTATAAGCCGCATCAGACTATTTAAATCTGAAGAGAAAAGCATTTCACCTTTATAAGAATAATGTTTTGAATAAAAATAGAAAAAAGTTACGTAAGAGATAAAACTAAATAAAAATATAAAAAAAGTGGAATAAAAAAGATAGTAATCAAAAGTAATAGAGAAAATAAAGAAAAACAACCTAAAATATATCAAAGAACATCACATAAATACTTGAACAACACAAAATATATCATACAACATCTCAGGAGTATTATGTAAATACCCAAAGATAATCTTGGAATATCTCATTTATACAATGATAATATTCTAAAAACATCATAGAATATCACATGTATACTGCGAGGACATCAAAAAAAGTATCGTAAAAAACATCATATGTATACCATGTGAACATCACAAAAAATACATCCTAGAACATTAAATAACACAAAATACATCATAAAACATCACAAAATACATCATAGAACATCACATGTATACTACATGAACATATCAAAATACGTCATAGAGCATCACATGTATACTACACAAACATCACAAAAATATATCATAAAAATCACATATATACTACGTGAACATCACGAAATATATCATAGAACATCACATATATACTACACAAACATCACAAAAATATATCATAGAACATCACATATATATTATTGGACATCACAAAATATATCATAGAACATCACGTGTATGCTACGTGAACCACATAATATATCATAAAACATCACATAACACATCATAGAACATCACATGTATGCTACACTCAGAACTTCAAATTTCAAGATGGTTGGAGCGTCGGACAACGTGCCAACTTTGGCTTGTGTGAGCCGTTTTCGTGGCCTTTTGAGTTGAAACCTTCACCCACGCTCCCCTGATCTCTTCTTAGTCTTTTCTCACCACGAAACGCTGAGGAGAATAACGTTACACTAGGTGTTAACCTCTACTTAACCTCTCATACGCTTCTTCCTCCCACCTTTCTTCTTTTCACCACCAGCAACAAAAGCTTGCTCCTTGATCTTCCCAAAGCCATCTTCCAACCCCATTCATGGCACCACCATGAAACCATGGCAAGGCCTCCATCGTCCCCTTCGGCGAGGACCTTCCCATTTCGAGAGTGAAGTTTTTTAGGGCCACCATCAACCATGGGGTGTGATGGCGGTGGACGCCCTCGACGTGCCACCTCTAGCCATCATCCCACCAACCCGCAAGGTGTCGAAGGCAAGAGGAGGGTTGGTCGACCTTCACCCTTGCCTTGCCACCGCCACGCTCTCGCTCCATCCCGCGCAATCTGTCTCCGAGAAAGACCCTGACCAAGGTCCCACCAAGGTCAGGAACTCCAAAGAGACCCACTACGGGCCAAATCGGTCCTAAGAGGGGCTTTGACGTGCACGTCTACAAGGGGGTGGAAATCCCTGATTGCTTGCCCCGCAACAAGGACCGAGGGGAATTCCAAATGGTGCTCATCATCGAGTCGGGTGATGTGTCAAGCGCCGAATATTCCATGTCCAGCACCCCATCAACGCCCATGATTTTGAAGACACACAAGCTCGTCGGTGGTGGGCCCAGGAAAGGAAAGGTGTTCGTCCCTCCGACCCCACCCGACGAACGTAGGGTGACATGGGAATCTCTAGATTCCGTAAGCTCGCCTAAAACAATCCGGCGGACAAGCAACCCTTTGTCCATCAATGGATCACAGGGATGTTTTGAGGGTGAAGAGCCCAATGAAAAGACCGATTACGAGAGGCTCCTTGGTGTAGTTGCTAGGCTTAAGAATAATAACATAGCCCTGCAAGAGCTTGTGGCGGAGTTGAAAACGGCCAACTTTGATTTAGAAGAGAACTTTTGCTCTCTCCGTCTTAGCACCAATGCGAAGCTTGCTCACATTGCGAAGGCCATAGGGAAGGAGGATATCCTCACTCCACCATCACCATGAACTCTCATGGCCTTCATCAAATAAGCTTAGGCATAGGTTGTTTGATTTATTTTCCAAATGTTGTTTCCATTTCCTTATCATTTGTAATCATGCCTAAGGATTGAATCAATGAATTTATCTTTTTTGTTGGTTCTGCTGGTGTTTTTCCACTAGCAGGACCCCTACACTTGATATTTGTATTGTCTGAGATTTCAAAGCACACTTTGAACCAAGTGTGGGGGTAGGTCGATGTTGACATTTCTTAGCGTCGCTACTAAGAACAGAGTTTTAAATCTAGTCCCTAGTAACAACACTAGAAATGCTTGTTGGTATTTATTAACGTGTCACTTGTTTTTAAATAGCTACCTATTATAAACCTATATCTCCTAATTTTACTAGATTGTCATCCCTAGTGATAATATCAGAGATACTTGTTGGTACTATATAGCATTACTATTATAATAATACTAAGCAGTTCTTTATTAATTATGTGACTAGGAAGAATAGATATGAATATATTATTTATATGAAAGGAATCTACAAGCACACAGATAATATACTATTGTAGCATTTTACCTGAGAGTATTCCATGTATCGTTATTTATATTTTACTACAGGGAAGGTCTAGGATTGACATGTATCGATAACTTATACTATTGAAGGAGAAGTAAACCATAACCAATATCCTACTCATAACGAGGATAGTCATATGATAAGATATATATATATATATATGATAAGTATTGATCAATGATAATAATAAATCACTCAGAGTACTTCTTTCTATGGCATTAGCATGGCCAGGTAGAATATTAGAGGAATAATTCCTAAGTCATTCTTAATTACAAGTCAAAGCATATATTGATTAGTGCAATTATACCTACTAATCATTGCTAAGATTATCGTCATATCTACACAAGGGATATTACTAAAGAAGATTAAGAATAGAGCTTACTCTTCCTTCGTAACCGAACCCTACGTGTGCCTATATTCGAAGAGTGGACTACAAAGGACTTAATGGGAGTGTCACATCTGTGATCTATCACATGACCCAGAATATAGGGTGTATCCGCAGGTAAACAACGTATAAGCACCACGCTTACACAATATCGACCACCCACCCATGGATCCTTAGAGTGAGTGCTATATGAACTTATGCATGAACATAATGATAATCCAACTATACGAAGCATATAATCAAAGTAGACCATGAACATTATAACAAATAACATGAATAAGATGAATACTAATATTGTTATAACAATTGTAACTAGCATACAAAAGTAATGGAGATACAAAAGAGAAAGAGGTACAAAGATTATACCAAACCACGCTCTTGACAAGATCGGGAATCCAAGCGAAGCTCTGTTTGCCTCCCTCTAGACCTAGCCTAACTAGCTATGCCCTAGAATATAGTGGAGCTCTGAGGATGATTAGGGTTTCTGTCTTCTCAAATGACTTATCTATTCCTCAGGGGGGTGGCAGGGGCTGGTATACATAGGCTGGAGCGTCCAACGTGAGCCCTTAGATCAAACCGACTTAAAGGATGGCGTAGATGCAACCTAGGAGGCGGTGGAGAACCAATATAACAATGAGGGGCTGATTGGTGGGCCCTAGGGCCTGGGCGGCTTACAAGTGGGGCCGACCAGCCCCACCTGGCGTCGTATCGCCCTCCGCTTCGGTGTGGAGTCATCCCGAATCTTCTAGAGTCTTCTAGTGTCCATTTCGCTGTGGATAAGCGCAATTAAATCTGACATGTAGGTCCACCTTGATAGTTTTCTGGATAAACCCTACAGAAAATACAGATTCACCAAAACTCGTGGAATTTGTTAGTTTAAACCCCTAAACCTTCATTGATGATTATATTTATGCCCTTATACATTTTATATTGACGGTTTATAATGGTTGTTAACTGCAATCAACAGTCGCCCCCCCAAGTTCAACAACTGAACATTTAGAGCCTGCCATGACTAAAAGAATGCAAAATCATGCGACCATGCAAAACTTCAAATCAAACGACCACAAAACTGGCGTCGGACGACCACCCATTTGCAAAAACTAAAGATTCTGAGCCTGTCACGCCAACTAATGTGCAAAGCTCTGCATCCACACCAACTTTTAGCCTGAACGACCAGAAATTCCACGTCGGATGACATACCTATTTTTGGATATCAGGAAACTGATAGTGCAGGGACATATTAACAAGGAAGGGAAGGCAGATGGTGGATCCGGTGACCTCCATGTGGGGTCAGCCAGCCCCACCATGGGACTCTGGGTCCACCTAGCAGCTCCTGCCACACTCCTCCACGTCCAAAAATATGTTTGCACCCCTTTATCTCTCTTTATGTTCATTTTTTCACATCTTTTATAATCTTCATGTAGGAATAAAACAAGAAGAGCCACATTTAATAAAATCTTGAAAGGTAACATAATCATGACACTTAGAAGATAGAAGTCTTCATACAAGTTTATTCTTTACATATACTTATGCTTGTGGGAAAAATTCTAATTGGAAGATCATATTGACTAAGTTGTTGACCAGTGTGATATAGTTGTTAGCTCATGATTCATACCCTTTTCTATTCAAGGTACTTGGAGATTAACTTTTGAAAATGTCATAAAACCATAGTGTCACATCACTCCTCAATGGTGAGAAAATTCCTACCAAAGCCATATGCTATGACCATACGTGTTTAAACCTTCTACTTTGCTACTTGTGTTTGCATTGAGTTTGGCCAAACCTCGTTGACCCTAGTTGAGGATCCTATAATACTCTCAAGATTAAGATGCCATCCACCTTCCACCAAATAAATAATCCATGTTCTAAAAGTATGATCTCTCTCTAAGTATATCTTTTATTATATGAGGCATAAGGCTATGCAAAAGTATATATAAAAAATGGACACATGAAGGTCTAAAGTATTGAAAAAAATGTGTGAGCACATGAAGGCTCATGAAAAAAGCGATAGCCATGTCTCAAAACCATAAAGACAAAGATCATATCAAATAAAGGAGTGTCCAAACTCCATGTTCACATACATGCACATCTTGATCTAGGATTATGACACTTTCCTCCTTAGATTTTTGTTTTGACTTTATAATATATGCAATGCAAGTATGCTAACATGTTCATCCCTACATAAGCTCCATATAAACCTTTTAGAAGTAGGAAGAAACAAAAGAAGACAAAGCAATGCTATGCCTTGGTAAGGAATCATACACTATTGAGCGATCTGAGAGTACCGATTGAGGAGTAAAAGTGATCTATGTGCTTTCTTTTGAAAAATTTATCCAAAACAATGAGTACTAAGATAAGAAAATGGGAAGATGATTTTGCCTTGAGAATTGTTCCACTTTTCAACCTCTGAAATCTATATGCTAGCTAGTACCACCAATACCCACTTGTATAAGAAATGTCTTGAATAAACTTTTTGATTGCCGAATATCTTAAAGATGTTATTGAAAGGTCCAAATGGCTAGAGAGGGGGTGAATAGCCTAATTAAATTTTCTACAAATTACTAGAGCAACGAGTTGGTCAATTAATAAGCAATGCTTTTTGCTCTAGTTCTACACAAGGGTTGGAAGCCACCTATCCACAATTCTAGTATTTATGATCACTAAAACACACAATGGCTAAGTCTCTACTCCCTATACTAGTTGAGCTAGCTAAACAACTAAACTATTAAACAACTAGCTACTCAACTAATTACACTACCAAGCTACTACTACACTAAACAAGATAAGCAAAGTATTACAAAGGAAGTAGAGGGGATATACTGACGTGGCAAGTGACAATCAATCAATCTTAAAGAATACCAAGTGAAAACCAATGGAGACAATTGATACACAATTTTTCTCCCGAGGTTCACGTGCTTGCCGGCATGCTAGTCCCAAATTTTGTCGACTCTTCACTTGGTGGTTCGCAAGCTAATAGGCACCACGCCTAGCCCAACAAATGGGCGCCGCAAAAACCTAGCACAAATGAGGGTACTCAATGACGCAAGCAATTTACTAGTGGCTTTTGGTGCTCCGTGGGAATAAGCCCAAGAACCCCTCACAAATCACTGGAAGATGGCCACGAACAATCACCAACTCGTGCCAACCTCCTCAAGCTGCTCTAAGCCATCTAGGTGGCGGTAACCACCAAGAGTAACAAGAAAATCGTTGCTAGAATGATCCCCAAGTGCTACTAGATGCAATCACTCAAGCAAATACACTTTGGATCACTCCCAACTCACTTGGATGCACAATCAAGCATGAGATTGAGTGGGAGAGGTTTGACTTAGCTCAAATGAGTATATGGATGATCAAAATGTCAAAGAGAGTGAGCTAGAGCCAGCCAAGCTCTATTTATAGAGCCCCAAAGGGTTACTAGCCGTTATACTGTCGTGGGGCTCCTGACTGAGCTCTGGACCCTGGGTTGGACCTCCACAGTAGAGTCCGGACTCAGCCCTCGACCAATCACTGAGCGCCATGCAAGCCCGCATTTAAAATTGACCGTTGCCGTGCAAACGTCACCTCTAGACCGGGGAACCGAACCAAGGTTCGGACCAACACCGATCAGGGTCCGGAGGGATCTAGAGAGCTCCTCGAGAGCGTTTTTTCTCTAGACTATGAACAATCATGGTCCGAAGCTCCACAAAGCGCGACATCACCACCAGCACAGGTGTAGCTTCAATCGGACTCGCGTCCCTTGGTCCGGACTGCCAGCTCGCCTAGGTCTAGAGCAAGCTTCACCACTGCACTGCCTCTAATTCTTCAACCGAACTCGGCAAAGTTGGTCCGAACCCCCCCTACTGAGCAGGGTCTAGAGCACACGATGCAGCCTTTTGGCTAGGGTATGGTACCAGACCGGACTCACCTGGGTCCGGACCTCTACGCCACCATAGTCTGATTCATCTTCTCCAACTCCAAATCAAATTCTAACACTTCAACCACTTCACCCTTGCTTCCAAGTTGCTAACCACAAAGTGTCTCACCATTGTGCACGAATGTTAGCATATTTTCAAAGCATTTTCAA